CCCGACTACAAGTACCGGCCCCGGCGCAAGCCCAAGAACCTGCTGAAAAAGGACAGGTATGTCTTCCCTTTGCCTTACCTCGGGGAAACCGATCCCTTAAAGGCTGCCGGGCTTCCCGTGGGGGCCACTGACTCGCTGCTGAGCTCCCCGGAGAAGGCCAGGGCTTTCCTGCCTCCCACCTCAGCACCTTACTCCTTACTTGACCCCAGCCAGTTCAGCTCCAGCGCCATTCAGAAGATGACTGAGGTTCCTCACACCTTAGCCACCAGCACCCTGCCCTACGCCTCCACCTTGGGATACCAGAACGGGGCGTTCGGCAGCTTGAGCTGCCCCAGCCAACACACCCACACTCACCCCTCGCCAACTAACCCGGGCTATGTCGTGCCGTGTAACTGTACCGCTTGGTCGGCTTCCAGTTTGCAACCTCCGGTTGCCTACATATTATTCCCGGGCATGACCAAGACTGGGATAGACCCCTATTCTTCAGCACACGCGACTGCCATGTAACACCCACCCACCCGCACCCCACGGGCGTGTGCGTGCGCGTGTCCCCCGCCCCGGGTGGCGGCCGGAACTGGGATTCCTTCGTGTGTGCATGTACATAAAACCTGCAGGAGCAAAAGGCCACCCGACCCAGGACTCTGCCGCCCGCCGCCGGGCCGGGACAGACGCGGACGCTGCCTCGGAGATGCTCTCGCCTAAAACTCGCCCCGAGAGCTGGCCCCGGGCTCGGAGGGGGGGATCTGCAATCGCGGGGGCAGATAGGAGCCCGGCACTTGTAAGAGTTGTAAATGTGTTTAAAAACAAAAAAAGGAAAAGCGAAGCTTGAACTGCCCTTTCGGGACAAAGCGGGGGTGAAAAAGAGAAAAAGAAAAAAAAGAGAGAGAGAGAGAGGCGGTTTCGATTTTTATTTATTCTCTTAATGTCTATGAGTTCTCCAGGGTCTCATGTCACTTGGACTTGACTTTGGGAAGTCCCGGTCTTACTCTGATTTTATTTTTTTTCCCTTGTTGTTTTCCTTTTGCACATTGAAAGACGAGATCAGTTGTGTTATATATATATAAATATATATATATTTTGCCACCACGCACTACTAGGTAAAATTGCTTTTCATGTCAGAAAAAGGCTCTTCAAAGTTAAAAAAGGAAAAAAAAAAGAAAAAAAGAGGGGGAGAAACATTTATATTTAAAACATATGATAGTGTTTGCTTAATTTAAAACAGATAGTCCTTAAATTTGTGTGATCCAGTGAGACTAGATCTAAGTTTACTTTAGACAGAGCGTCAGGTATGAAGTCAGGCAGTAGAATTGTAAAAAAATTAATACTACTACTACTAATAATAATAATAATAACGAAAAACCGAATAAAAACGATGGCAATTTAAATAAGTTTTCACAATGTCTTGGGGGAAGAAGAAACAGAAACTAAGATGTATCCGGCAGGATTTTACCTCGTTAAACCTTTTCATTTGTTGAACAAAGACGTTTTGAATAAAGACAATCTGTCATCAAACGAGGCAACTGCGTGGTGTGAGTGC